AAAGTAGCATGAACAATTTAGTGGAGAATAAAAGATGAAAGTTTCAAAAAATGATTCTATAAACATTAGATATTCATATGTAAAAAATAACTCTGATGCATATCTTTTATAAAATAACTTAAAATGGGTCACAGACTTAACTATAAAACATAAAACAATAAAACTGATAGAATAAAACATTGGAGAAAATCTTTGTGACTTCAGATGGCAATAATTTCTTAGATACAAAACCAAAAACATGATCCAAGAAAACAAATGGATTAATTAGACTCCGTCAAGAATAAAATTATCTGCTCTGTGAACTACTCTGTACCGAGAAGGATGAGACAGGCCACAAACTTGAGAGAAAATACTTGTAGCTCAGACATCTGCTAAAATATTTGCATCAAAAATATATAAAGACTCAAAATGCAATAAGAGAGCAAGGAATGAAATAAAACTGCACAAATACTGCACCAAAGAAAAGAAATGGATGCCAAATAAATCAGATTAATAAGATGCTTCATATCATTAGTCATTAAATAAATGTGAATTCAAGCACAATGAGTTACTATCACACAGCTATTATAATGGCTAAAAAGTTTAACAATATAAAGTGATAATGGCAGGGATGCAGATTTTCTGGGATTCTCATTTACACATTACTGGTGGAAATTCAAAACATTAAACCACTCTGTAAGGGTAATATGGTTTGGCTCTGTATCCCCACCCAAATCTCATCTAAAATTGTAATCCCCACATGTCAAGAGAGGAACCTGGTGAGAGGTGATTGGATCATGGGGGCAGTTCACCCCACACTGCTTTTGTGATAGTGAGGAGGTTCTCACGAGACCTGATAGTTTATAAGTGGCAGTTTCCCTTGTGTGCTCTCTCCTGCTGGCATGTAAGTTATGTCTTGCTTCCCCTTTGCTTTTCACCAAGATTGTAAGTTTCCTGAGGCCTCTCCAGCCGTGAGGAACAGTGAGTCAGTTAAATCCCTTTTCTTTATAAAGTACCCAGTCTCGGGCAGTTCTTTACAGCAGTGTTAAAATGGACTAATATAAAAGGTGGCAATGTAATCATTTATTTTAAACTTAAGCATACACTTACCATAAAATCTAGTAAATTCACTCACAGGTATATACCAGTGAGAAATGGAAAATAAAGACCACAAGAAGACATGCACATAAGTGCTCACAATAATTTTATTTAAAATCACAAAAACTGGGCAACACCCTGAGAACATTCAGTCAGTGAATGACTAAAGAAATTATAACACATTCATATACTACTCAGCATACTAAAATACAAAAACTATTGATACACAAAATACTAAATAATTTTTTTCTATGTGAAAAAAGCCACTCTCAAAGTCTATATATTGTATCATTCTATTTTTATGACTTCCTGGAAAAGGAAAAAGAAAAGGAAAAGATATAGCTATAGAGGTGGAAAACATAGTGTTTTGGGATGCATGTATGGGTTGACCACAAAGTGACATCATAAGAAAGTTTTGGAGGTGATGGAGCTGTATTTAAGGAATTATGTTGGTGAATATATGACCCTATGTATTTGTCAAAATGCACATGACTATATAGCATAAAGAGTAGATTTTCATGTATGTGAATTTAAAAAAATCAAACTGTAGGAAAATGCAAGATGATATGCCAGACTGTGACACACTATACCTTTGTATTACAAATAGTTCAGTTCACCCTCCAGAAAGTGGTGGAGAAGAAAAAAGCTGATCTAAATGATTTTGGAAAACATTGTTTAACTGGATGTCTTAAGGTCACAAACAAAAGAACTGTGCTCAAACATTATTCTTGGTGGTCAATTTGATTCTCACAGGAGTATGTGTTAGCATTTCTCAAACTATTTTAACTGTATACAAGGTTTGAACAAATAAGTAAATATACTGTAGATATTTAGAGCCTGTTTTCTCAACTGTTAGCAAAAGAAGATAACCTTACAGAAAGGGGCTGGCTTACAATGAAACTTCATTATTGGATTAGAATCAGAGATATCAGTATAAACTCAAATATCTATCTGATCTATCTATCTATCTATCTATCTATCTATCTATCTATCTATCCATCCATCCATCCTATCTATTTATCTCTTTGACTCTCCATGCATCCCTGTATCTGCATCTGTAGCTACATGTAGACACATGGATATCCATCTGTCTATAGCTTGACATACATATACATATAACTAGATAGAGAGGGTTATTTTTGTCTTTGCACAGATTAGTAAACATGTATTTCCAAGATTTCCTCAATGAGGGTAGATTTAATGACACTGCAGCAGCAATGTGCACACATGATAGGTAGATCTTGGTTTCTAAATACCTATCTCCAATAAAAGAAAACAGGGCTGCTTGGTTGGTCTCATGGCTGAGGCACGAAAAATACAAGATGAGCCTGAAGCATTCTGTAGTTTCAGCAAGTTAAGAAAGTTCTCAAAAAAGAGAGACATCAAAAGAGTATAGAAACTGCCCTGAAATAACTCCAAATGGCAGAAGTGGGAACAACTTGAAAAACAAAATAAATAATGATATAATTGAGTTGTAATTCAAAGAATAAAGTATTTTTGAATCCAGATGCAAATGAACAAATAATTGAATAGGAGAGAAAGGTCAGCTCTACCTTAGAGGGGGATTCCAATTAATGCATGTAAAAAAATTAGGGAAAGAGAAAAATTACTACTTAGAGAATTAACACATTAATAATTTGCTGCATCCAACATCCATATGTAGATGATAAAACTGGTGAGCAGAAGTTTAAGGAGAAGCAGGAAATTTGCATAGACTCAAATCATATTCCTTGAATCAATTAGTTTGCTTTTTTCTTTATTTTTATTTTTTTTTTTACTTTAAAAGGGAAAACTAGTAACTTCAGATTGGAAAGTCTAGAAGGTACCACCTCAGCCAAGTGATCAAGGATAACATAAACAGGACAGATGCATTTCATGTATCCTCTTTGCAAAGCACTGAGAAGTGCCCATGACCTCCATGGTATTCTTCCAGTAAATGATAATCTTAAATCATAGGAAATCATCAGACAACCCAGTTTGAAAAAGAGTATAAATATAATTGACCAACACTCTTCTAAATTATCAAGGTCAAGAAAAACAAGCAACGTCTGTGGAACTGTAACAGATTAAAGAAGAATCAAAAGATACCTCAGCCAAGAAAAATGAAGACTCTGGTATAGGACCCTAGTCAGAAAAAAGCTGGTGCAATTCAGATGGTCTATAGTTTAGTTAATAATATCGTAACAATATAAATTTATTCATTTTTATAACTTAGAAGGAAACAGTATGTACCTTATATGGGAAGTCTGTGCAACTTTTGCACCTTTTCTGTAAATCTTACTTCATTTTTAACAAATTTATATTCTTCTGGAAAGGCTACAGCCAATGCCAGAAATACTGCCCAAAACAGAGAGAGAGAGATGGAAAAAATATTCTCTCTTCTCCATTCTCCTCTCCGCTTATTGTCCATCAGTGCCTCCCACTGGCTAAATCTACCCAAAAGATAGCAGGGAGAGAGATATGCGAAGTGTAGCTGTGGGCAGCTCAGGTAATAAAGAGAAGAGAGCAGGGGAACAATGGGAGATAATTTTGACAGCAAATAGGTAAACGAGCAGCATGGATGAAATGGAATACAGGCCATCCTTTACATTTCCATAGCTGAGATGTGTGAGAGACTCAATGTCTGAGATACTGTCAGCTCTCATCACTCACTCCAATTTGTGTTGCCTGCTTCATAGGGTAGGACTTAAATACACATCCTATTCCATAAAGATGGGTGTACAGTTCCTCCATCATTCATTTCCTGGACAAGGGTTAATGTCTCTTAGTGTGCTGGAGAGGATGAGATTCAGTGTAGAAAAGGCTAGAGATAGACAGGTTAAAAAAAAAAAAGGTGAGTCTGAGACCAACATAGCCAACACTCACCTTGTGCTGAATCCCATCTCTTCTCCTGGTGGGAAGAATGGAACCTAGGGCACATGGGAGAAACTCACACCTGAGCTTTGCAACTTCAGTTGCAAATTCCATGTCTTCAGATGAACACCAGGGCCAACTTCATTCCTTGAGCTTTGGTATGGACTGAATATTTTTATCCCTGCCAAATTCATATCTTGAAATTCTAACTCCCAATGTGACAATATTATGAGGTGGGGCTTTGGGGAGGTGCTTAGTCATAGAGCCCTCATGAATGGGAATTAGTGCCCTTGTAAGATGAGACATGAGAAAGTTGCATCCCTGTCTCTCCTCTCTGCCCTGTGCAAACCAGGAAGAAAATCCTCACCAAACACTGGATATTCCGGTGCCTTGATTTTAGACTTACCAGACTCCAGAACTATGAAAAATAAATGTGTGTTGTTGAAGTACTCCAGTCTGTGGTATTCTGTTATGGCACTCAAACTGACTGAAACAACTTTGTTAGCTCTCACCAAGTGAGCATTCTTCTGCCACTGTGGGCTTGAGTGAAGAAATAAATATCAGATGTTTAAGAGAAACATAGTTATTATCATTTGTTATAGGCTAAATTATGTCCCTCTAAAATAATTCATGTGTTCCAGTCCTAACTCCCAGTACCTCAGAATATGACTATATTTGGAGATAGAGTCCTTAAAGATGTAATTAACTAAAAATGAGGTTGAGTGTGTCTTAATCCAATATGGCTGATGTCTTTTCAAGAGAAGGAAATTTACACACAGACGTAAATGTGTGTAAATTTAGAGAAAAGACCATGTAAAAACACAGGAAGAAAATGGCCATCTACAAGCCCAGAAGAGAGGACTCAGAAGACACCAACTCTGCCAACACCTGATCAACTTCTAACCTTCAGAGCTGTGAGACAGTAAATGCCTTTTGTGTACGCCACCAGGTCTGGGTCACTTTGCTATGCGGGTCTTAGAAAACTAACACTAAATGACACCTATCTCCTCGATAAGAGAGGTCATAAGTATGTTGGTCTTAAAATTCAGCAGAATTTTCATTTTCCCCAGGTGCCCAGGGAGACAAACCGGTAAATGTGAGAAGAAGAAATACTTCTGATGTTTTCCCAGGTAAATCTAGAAAACTGTGACCCTCCTTTTCACCATTAAAGTAACACCTTATATTGCTCAAGAAAATACTCTTGATATTTGCATCCATCCTGAATATGGCCAGCTTCCCAGAGCAGCATTTGCTGAAAAGATCATCAAATCTTGGTGATTTAGAAAGTCAAATTCTGATCCCTCATGGGCATATTTTTTTGAGGAAATGAGGAGCTAACTTATGGTAGAAATCAAATTTTGTTATATCTGATTTTGTTAATTTGAAAAACTTAAAAAGAAAATAATTAAGTCTATGTGTGTCTGTATCAGACTAATGTGGTTCAACATTTATGTAACAAAGTTATGACTTGTTTTTCAGCTCCATGGAACCCATGTTGAAGGCCATGTAGCCCGAGCATGCTCAGATGTGCCAAGCAGGCAACCAAGTGGGGAACCTAAGCGCTCTGATGGAGGAGTGGGGGCTGAATTAAGAAGAGGACACAGCATGGCAGGGTCCAGGATCCAATCAGATAGAGCCCTGATTGTCACTCCATGGCAGGATCCAGTCAGACCATGCTTCCTGGCATCACCTCATCACAACATCCAATCAGACCACACATCATTACCTCATGCTTATAAAACTTGACCCAATCTCCAGCTCCAGAAGACAGATTTGAGTGTTTCCTTCTGTCTCCTTCCCAGTCAACTTGCAATAAAGCTTCTCTTTTGCCCAAAGCTGGTGCCATGTTACTGCCTCTATGTGCGTTGGGCAGTGGGCCTTTTGAGTGTTTGGTAGCATAAGGGGAAATTTCCAATTTCATGTCTCTTTTTTATTGTGTTAAAATATGCACAGCATATTGATATATTTAAGTAGGCTTCCTGTGACAGTTTACCTATTTTTTTTCAACTTACAAGGCCTAACACATTCTTTGCACCTCACAGAAATGGGATATGCTATCTTAGCCAGTGCCTTGTGAGCATTTTCTTCTTCAGCTTTCTCTTAGGCAAAAATCAGATTTAAATTCAATTTGTAGTTATCTGTTCATGTTTGATAGCCAAATTGGGGCCATCACATTAGAGTGAATGTGATTAGACAGATGTGAGACGTCTCAGTGTCAGCTGTCTCCTTTAATTGCTTTTGTGGATGAGACAGGAAACATTATTGGTAGTATCGTAATGCTCACCAAATGTCCTCAAAATGGCCCTCGGGAGCACATATCAATTTAGCAATTGGCTCTACAACCCTAAAGAGTAAGTGACTAAAGATCTCTGTTAACATTGGTTATAAATTAACTACGGAACTTTGGACATATCCCACTTTCTGTGAGGAGGAGATATCAATCTATTTCAATTTGTTGATATCCCTAGGAGTCTTACATATTTAAACCTTAAACCCAGAAGCTCCGGCATCTGAATCATCAATCTCTTTTACTGCATTTCAGCTGTTTCATGTGCTTTTATTTTGTACATCTCACACAGGTGGAATTTTTCTTTTTCTGAGTTAAATACATTTAACTTGATATATAGAGTTATTGTGTGAGGCCAGAATATTTTCAGTTCATATCTTCACTTTTGTTTTGTTGTTAGTGTGTTACTCATTTCTAGCTTTGAGTGGCAGAATCTCTCCTGAACTCTAAGGAAATTAAAGAAATAAAGGAAATGTCTGCAGGCATCCCTTGGCATGTCTTTTTATTTTGCCTGTCACACCATAGCAGCCAAACAAACATAGCAGTTTTATAAATGATCCATTGAATGACAAAAACCTTCCCATTCTCAATGATTTTCACATGGGATTTATTTTTTCTGTATGTTTCTCTCCAATCTTTGCATCTTGGATTTGTTAAAATAAACGAATTAAATTTAAAAATTTAAAAAGGAAACTTTAAGGACCTCAAATTCATCAGAATCTATCCTTTGATTATAGCATGAGAACTGCCCTCTTCTATGACAATTTAATCCAAACCCAATATAGACCTTCACTTCCGGGGTCACTAAATAAAAATAGTAAAGCTGTCAGAGTAATGTTTTAAAAACTGTTCAAGATCTGTATTTACTTTCTTTCCTTGACACCCGGATAAATGTTCAAATCTTGTTGCTGCTTTTCAAATTGGAATGTGTGGAAAAACTGCTTCCCTCTACCATAGTCTAATCTAGAACTAAAACCTAGCCTGAGTAAGCATTTAGTCTTGACAGTGACCATTTAAGCTTGGGACATGGACTCTTCCAATGTGGCCAGTGTGCTAACTTGCTGTGCTCATTAGCAGTGGAAACTGACACTCTAAAAGAAAGAAAAAAATTAAGTCTAAGGACAAATTTCCAATTTCATTTCCTTTTTTAATCGTGCTAAAACATATATAACATATTGACAAATTTAACTATTTAAAAGAGACAATTTAGTGGCACTATGTACATTCACAATTTTGTGCAATCATTATCACTGTCTAGTTTCAGAACTTTTTATTACTCTAAACATCTCTATACTTACTAGCAGTCATTCCTTTTTCCCCCTACTCCTAACCCCTGTCAACCATCAATTTGTTTTCTGTTTCTATGGATTTTCCTATTCTCAACCTTTCATATAAATGGAATGGTGCAATAAGTGCTATTTGGTGACTGGCTTTATTTTGCACAATTTTCAATATTCCTCCATGTTGTAGTAGCATGTATCAGTAGTTCATTTTTTGTCAAATAATATTTCATTGTGTGAATTTGCCACATTTTGTTTATTCATTCATTTGTTGCTGAAAGTTTGCATTATTTTCCACCTTTTATTCTATTTTGTTTTATTTTTCATACAAGCAGGGTTTGCCTATGTTGCTTAGTCTGGTCTCAAACTCTTGTACTCAAGAGATCCGCTCACCTCGTCCTCCCAAAGTGCTGGGATTATGCCATGCCTGTCCCAGCCTCCAACCTCTTTAAACCACAAACACCAGTGGATTGTTTACCACCATGCAACTCTTAACACACTAGTGAGCCATTCTTAAGTTTAGAAATAAACCAACGCCAAAAAAAATATCTCATATCTAGGAAGGAAACAAAAGCTCATGCGTTGAACCAACAGGAACAAAGGAAGCATTGTAGTTTTTTGTCTTCATACTTGCTACTTCTTCTGTCCCCTGAAAGCCAGAACTCAGCCCGAGGTCTGACAACATTCTGCATTTCCATAGTGAAAAACATGTTTTCTGAGCAGCAGAATATCAAAAAGTCAATGCCTTGAAGAGTTTCAGGGTGCAATGACAACAGAAAACATGAGCCGTCATGATAATTATAATCCCAACAACAATTAGGATTCTGTTGCCTAGTTCACTATTGCATACTGAGCAAGTAGTAGATGCTTATTAAATATTTAATGAACTAATGAATAAGACAAACGTACTTTGAAATTTACTTTGCATTCCTTCATCTCTTGGTCTACACAGATGCTACAGTATTTTGTTACTCTTGTCTTGTTTTTGCCTCTTCTTTTTTTTTTTAAACCAGAGTGAATTCCAAGAATATTCAAGTCCATGAAAAACTCCCCAGGCTAATGATTCTTAGACTTATATTTTGAGCAGATTCTAAATAGGTGGTTGAGATTAATATAAGCCTAGGAAAGAGATTGAATCTTGTAGTGGATAGAAAATGAATAAAAGCTAAAGGTTTGGAATACCCAAGACTTAAGCAGGAAAAGGTAAAGCAGCATTATCAGTAATGAATGCGGTTGGCTACAATAACAGAAAATTTAGCTAATGGTCCCTTAAAGGATGAGGACTTTCTTGTTATTTATTGTCATCAGTTTGGGCTACACTCAATGATAGTTGGTCCTGAAGAACCCACATATTTAACATATTTATCTTTTTATCTGCAGTATGGTTATTTTATAATTGGGAGATGGCCCTCATAGTGTTACATACCACATTGTCACTGGACAGCCCCCAGAGCAGGATGAGAAGAAAGGGACAAAAAGAGGCCATTCTGGCTTAATATTATTTGTATGAAGGAGGACAGCGTTTCCCTTAAATCCCCATAAGATGTAGTCTTAGGTCTCAATGGCCAGAGGCAAGTCGCATGACCCAGACCAAACCAATCACAGGCTTATGTAAAATGGGCATATCCTCACAGCATTTCTGTGACTGACCTGAACCAATCAGGATCTGTGCCTTGAGTCTGGATAGGGGACAATATGCTGCCCATCAGATGCCAGAACAAAATAATGAATGGCTGGGGGTGGCCTTCCAAGAGATTCAGCAACAAAGCAGCCCTCTCAGGGAGGAAATGAGATCATTTTCCATGATGAGACAGATGGCTCAGTGTTATGTAAAGGAAATCAAAGAAATCAAATAAATTTAAATACCATAGTGACTAACTCGTTTCCTTTCCAATTGTTTTTGGGCTCTTCAGATGGCATCACAGAGAAAAATCTATTTGTTTTTAGAGCCTGTAACGTCTAACACTTTCAGCCTTTTTAAGAGAAAGGAGGCCCACGTAAGCTCAAGGCTTTATACAGGTAACAGCATGGAATTGCAATGTTCTATTTCATTACACTTATTTTCATAATTGTCCTCTATTTATGGTAAGTTTACCATGATAATATTATTTCCTTCTTGAATATTCTTATTACTCACAGAGGTTAACTTAAATAATATATCACATAAATAATAACACAAATATATTGACAACATGAAATTAATAAAATATATTTTTTTTAATGACTGAAAATTAAGAACTCCTGAATATAAAATAGTGAGCAAGAAGATTTCCAAGACAATCTGGGACCTAAGGGAAAACTGAGGTTGAATCAAGATTAATTTTTAGGGCAAAATTAATGGAAAACTTTAAAATACTATATTGGTATTTCCCATCCTTTCATGCGTCAAACACTATTGTTTCTGAAAAGAAGCTAATGTATTCAAAGCCATAATTCAAAATAGTTTTATCTCTTGCCTTTCAATTTAGACTAAATAGCAGAAGAAGTCATGAACTCATGAACTGAGATAGACAGATAACTGATAAATAGGCCAATTGATGTAGATACCGATATCTCTCTTCTGGTATAACGTGTCTACGTTGGCCATTACTGGATTAGGCCTCCATTAAAAAATGAAAGTCATGGTGTGTAATTGCAATGTTTCTGTCAATGAAAAACATTTCTGCTTGAGCCTACCTATGTGAAACGTTTTTAGTGGCATAAAATTGATTTTATACTCAATATATTAGAACAGTGTTATTGGAGGTGTACAGGGAGGCCCTGGAGATGTGTAATTTGATTTTAGGTGGTTGCCAAGCAGAGCATTACACAACATAGGCTCACATAGTGAGAAATGTTTCAGTCATGTTTCAGAGATATTTTGGGTTTGGTTCTGAACCACTGCAATAAAGCTAATATTGCAATAAAGAGAATAATGGAAATGTTTTATTTCCCAGTTGTATTAGTCCATTCTCACACTTCGATAAAGAAATACCCAAGACTGGGTAATTCAATAAGGAAAGAGGTTTAATTGACTCACAGTTCTGCAAGGCTGGGGAAGCCTCAGGAAACTTACAACCATGGTGGAAGGGAAAGCAAATAGTTCTTCCTCACATGGCAGCAGCAAGGAGAAGTGTGAAGCAAAAGGGGAAAGGCCCCTTATAAAACCATCAGATCTCTTGAGAACTCACTCACTATCACGAGAATGGAATGGAGGTAACTGTTCCCATGATCCAATTACCTCCCACTGGGTCCCTCTCATGACACGTGGGGGCTATGGGAACTACAG